TTCCCTGGCATTTTTTGTCACCCACCCTGTCTCCATTCCATTCCCATGTCCATCCCATTCCCATCTCCATCATCCTCATTCCCATCCCCTTCCCATCTCCATCCCCACTTCCACCTCCATCATCTCCATCCCTTCCCCATCCCCATCTCCATCATCCCCACGGTGGATATGTGGGGTGAGGTCTCCTCACTCCCCCTGACACCTCCTGTGCCGCAGGCAGCGCATGACAGCGTCCGAGTGCCTGGTCCATCCCTGGATCAAGGTGAGAGGGACAGGCAGGGGGTGGGCTCTGGACCCCTGGAGCAGGGTGAGGGCACAGTGACAGCTCCAGGTCCTTCCCCCACAGCCCCTGAGCCGGAGTCAGGCAGAGAACCGGAGTCGTTCCTCCATCAACATGAGCAACTTCCGCAAGTTCAATGCTCGGAGGAAGTGGAAGGTGAAGGGGATCCCACCGTGGGGAATTCCACGCCTGGGAAACTCGGGCTGGGCTGCATCTCAGGGGTCTGTGCTGGTGTGGGGGACAGAGCTGGGGAGGGACCCCCAGGTCACCCCCTCTTGCCCCTCCAGCTCTCCTACAACACAGTGTCTGCCTGCAACCGGCTGTGCCGCACGCAGCTGCTCTGCGGCCCGAGGAAGGACGATGAGGAGCTGGTGAGCACTCAGGAGCCCCCAGACCCTGCCCAGCATGGGTTGGGGTGAGGGGAGAAGGGATTTGGGGGTCTGATCCCCCCCTCAAATGGAGAGGGTGCCGTGCAGAGGGTGTGCGATGGGGATTGTCCCCACTTGGGGTTCTCTGCCCCCGAGGGGAGTCCTGTCCCTGCTCTCCAGCCCTGCTGTGCCCCCAGCGCTGCTGTGAGAGCCACCAGGAGGAGGAGGGCAGTGCCCCCACGGCCCTGCTGTGCCAGCGGAGCCGTGGGGAAAAAAGGAGATGGGACCCCCGGGAGAGGAGCCTTGGGGGGTCCCCACATCTCCCCACCCCGGTACTCCCAGTTCTGTGGTGCTGGAGGGTGACTGGGGCAGCAGCACCCACCTCCTGCCCCCCAGGGCTGGGATCCTCATCCCTGCTTCGTCCTAGTGAGAGAAATAAACGTC